GCGCGTGCCGAAGCCTGCGAGCCCCGTGTGCCCACGGATGCGCCCCGCGGCTTGGGGCCCCCGGGCGGACACACGAGGACGTGCAGGGCGCACTCGCAGGCAAACGCAGTGCGCCCACAGGTGGTGGGAATCTCTGCGCAGGTGCGCCTGGCGTGGCGGGCAGGTGGGTCACCTGTGCGCTCTAGGGAATGTTGAAAGGCCTGTGGATGTTGGAGGCGGGGTGCAGGGCGGAGCCCCGCCCCCAGGGGCCCAGGAGCCTCACCAGTTTGCGCTGACACCAGTGGCAGAGGCCGCAGAAGACGACGGTGACGCTAAGGCTGACGGTGATGATGGCAGAGACCAGCAGGACGTCGCGGGTGGGCGCCCCTGGGGAGGACAGGCACAGGTCACACCCTCATTGACCAGGGTCAGACACCTTCCCTCAGCCCAGAGCCACCTACAAGGGCCCCCTCGCCCTCCACCAGGCTCCAGCACAGAAGGATTGAAGGCAGAACAGGGCCTGGGAGTACCGTCTCACTGGGTGACCTTGGCAAGTGCCACCACCTTGGGGGAATTGTACTGGTAAAGGTCTCATCTCTTTGAATCTAGGAATCTGCCACCTCCCTATCTTGACAGCCCAGTGGGACGTCCCTGACCTTTCTAGTCCCTCCAAGGAGTATTGGCTCCTTATCCTCTTTTAGCTCAGTTTTCCTTGGTCTGAGGGCCCAGCTGCTGACCACAGCAGCCCCTTTCTACCATTTCTGAGCCTCTCTGGGGTTCTTACCCCGATCTGCTCCAGCCCTGCCCTCTGCCTTTCTTTACTGCCTAACCCTCAGCAGCTGCCACTCCACACACTAACGGAGTGGACACCTCCACCCCTCTCATAAGACCAGCCCCAGCTTTCCATCTAATCTCCCACCTCTTGCTGGCTGTGGGCTGTAGACCATCATCTGACTGCTCAGTTTTCTTCCCTGTAAAATGGGGAGGATTGCGCCTTCTAGCTTGCCTTCCTCACAGGTGGTTATAATACAAACCTCAGCTCAAACCCAAGAAGGCTGATCACGTGGGGCCGTGGGCCACGTGAGCACGGTGTGGCTCTCACAACCCGGTAAACATGCGGCCTTGTTGGGAAGACACTGTTTATTTACAGATGAGCCTGTGTGGGCTTCCTGATTCCGGTGGTGACAGTAATTAAGAACTGACGATAGCGGTCTGTCTGGTCCTGGTTCCTGTGGTTTTCCCTCTTGCTGCCCTTCTTTCTAGCATTGCCAGGGGCCTCCTCTCAGGCCCTTCTTGACTCCCTCCCTCTCTCTCCACCCCGGGCAGCCAGACCCTTCTCCACTCTCCAGAATCCAGCCTGAAACCCCCTGCTCCCTTGCTGGCTTCTTGAGCCTCCAGGCTGTGAGGGGGAACTATGTGGTGGCACACTGTTGCCGGCCCACCACCTTCCCCTCTGGGTCTTACTTGCATCAATCAAGTCCACAGCCTCCGCCCCCAGGAAGTCCCTGCACCTGGTTCACAATGAACCTCAGGACCTATCTATGCTCTGGGAGCTCCAAACGAGACCACGTGCCAACACAGCTCCCCCCGCGACCACTCTGATGAGGTGCACTGCTCTGCAAGGCTGGAGGGCCATTTGCCAGCGCTCTCGGCCACATCGGAGGACTTGATCCTTAATGTACCAGCTTCCCAGGGGAGAGGAGGCAGTGGGCCTGGGGATGGCGATAATACTGAAAGCAGTCTGGCAGGGCCCCAAGGCACAGGCCGGGGTGAAGAGAGGGACAAATGCCCTTCCAGGCATGGAGTCTGCATTTTTCCAGACTCCATGCCCAGAGTCCCATGGGGAGGACCTGAGATGCTATGTGGGCTGGAGAAACAGGCAGCCCCGTTACAAGCAAGGGCCTCGGCTCGAATACTCTGGGGATGTTGTCCGGAGGGGCCAGTCCCTGGAGAAGTGTATCATGCTTGGAAAAGTAGAGGACTTGGCTGGCCTAGCAGTAAGAAGCTGCTCTGCAACCCCAAAGGCAGGCAGTTCAAATCAGTCAGCTGCTCTGCAGGACAAGGATGAACACAATCTCTTCTCTCATGATTTATGGCCAACAAGATGGATTGAGAATGACTGTGACAATGAACTTCAGCCCAGCAGAGACTGTGAGGATTGGGCAGGGTTTGATAGAATTGGAGCGAATTAACAATAACAGTAACAGCATATCTTTCTTGTTAAAATCATGTTCAAAGGAAAGAAAACTCTATTCTTGTGCTAAGCTTTCTTTAACCACCGTCTATCAAGAGTTCACTGTTAGCTGTGGGGGAGAGAGGCCTGGCCTCCAAGGACCTGTCACTCACATGAGGAGACAGGCTTTAATCCAGCTAATTCATTCGGCTCCCAGCACACCAGGGGTCTCAGCAGTGGCAAGACCCCTAGCCAGAGCTCCAGACTCCAACAGCCCACTGTGAACTCACGCCTTGTCCCTTAACTGCTGCGTGGCCTCGGGCAAGTGTCTTAACCGCTCCATGTCTTCTTTTTCTCCTTTATATAAAATGAACATGATCTCCATAGTCTGCCACGGCTATAGTTGGTGCACATTAGATGGGCTCCATTATTCCAGTTGGTAGTTTTATCACAGGTGAAAACAGGGCTGTGAGAGCACATGTGGAGATGTGGTTGGGATGAGGGGAGCTATCTGGGAAGGCTTCCTGGAGGAGATGGTGTTCCCATGGCCTGCGGTGGGGCAGAGAGAAAGCAGGAGCAAAGGAGGTGGGAAGAAGCATCACAGCTGTTTGAGAAACTGGACGGGGGGGTGGGGTGGTATGAGGAGCGAAGGGGGCTAGGCATGAGAGCAAGGCCTGTCTGGGAAGGGGTTTGTCTGCCAGTCGAGGGCTTGTTTTGTGGTACAGGCCGTACGAGGGCTTGTTTTGTGATACAGGCCGTGGGGAACCAAGGAAGGTTTTTGAGCAGAGTAGGAGCAGGATCTGAGGCTTAACAAGCTCATGATCTGGCAGCTGTGGAACCAATTGGCGGTCACTGCCAGGATCTAGGTGGGTTCCTCCGCCTTGGTGCCTTCTACGTACACACATCCCTCCTACTTGGCCAATGAAGGAAGCTGTCCAAGAGTCAGGCACTTGCCCCCTAAATCCGTGCTTCAAAGGGAACACCTACCATAAAGGACCAGCATTCTGTGGTCACAGAACAGGCACCAGCTTGGAGCCCAAGAGATGTCCTGTGACAGCCACTCTCTGCTTTTTTCATGAGCAGAAGAGGTGACCCTTCCCCACCTTAACACCAATAAAAACATAATCCTCACAAGAGCCCTCTGACGCGAACATGGTGATTGTTCCCCACTTTACTGAAGGGATAACCGAGACACAGAGGAGTCACGATCGTTGAGCTAGCACGTGGTGGAGCCTGGGTTTGAACCCAGGCTGTCTGGCTCTGTTGTCCTGGCACACGCAGGACAGCGGTGGGGAGCAGATAGCTTTCAAAGTATGATGATCTGAGAACTCAAGGACTTGGAAACCCCAAGCCCTCTTGTGCCAGAGCTGCATCATTTCTGTTTTACACCTTGGATTTTTGTAGAAAATTCTACTTAAAAGGAAGGGATGTGTGTTACTAAGAACAGTTTCAAGCGCGTGCGCGCACACACACGCACACACACATATACATATGTATGTGTATATGTGTGTGTGTGTGTATCTTCCCTTGGACTTGGTGGATGCTGTCCACTCCACCCCTGGAGACACTCTGGCCCCTCAGTGTTCCTCAGACAGCCCTTGGGGCTGGGGTGCACTTGCCCTTGCAAAGTGCACGATGCTGTGAATAAAGCCATGTGATGGCCACAGTCAACGTGCCCTCGAGTGATGATGCAAACAAGGGGCGTAAGGGAGAGCTCGCCTGGCAGCTGGAGTGAAGCCTTCTCTAGTTTAAGGAGTCACTGTGTTCTGGCTAGGAGGGACCCTAGGCGTTATGAAGTCAATTTACTGGTGCACAAATCCTTTCGGGTAGCCCTGTTGGTGAGAAGACACATCTTCTGCAGAAGGTGGGCCCCAAAGACAGGCATTTTGCAGAGGAGGGCTGCTATGCCTCTCCTGAGAATGTTTCCCCGTGGTCCTAAGCCTGCCCTCCGGAGCTGCCAGGAATAAGAAGGCTCCCTCTGCCACATGACAAGTTCCAAATCCTTGCTGACAGCTCTCATGTCCCCTTCAAGTCTTCTCCAGGCAAAGCCGCCCCAGTCCTTCCAATACTTCCTCAGATGACATACATGGTTTCAAGTCCCCTTATCGTCAGCATATTAACATTCAGGGAAAGAAAATATCGCAGCTCGAGCCAGCCCTGTGACAGGGTTGAGTTCCGTGACCTCTCCTTGGGCAGAGCACAGACAAGGGCAGACAGCGGGCACCGGGGGACTAGAAGGCACGTGGGCCAGGTGCTGGGCGGGGAGTGAAGGGTTGGCAAGGCGGTGCCCCTCTGCCCAAGCCTGCAGTCATCAGAGCCCAGGATTACAGTCCAGGGGAAAAGACACGATGCTGGGAAAGGGAGAGTGTCAGAGAAAGAGAAGATCCTCAAGCAGGTGGATCGACACCGTGGCTGGAGTGAGGGGCCTGAGCAGGTCAGCAGCACAGGGAAGGTTCAGATTTGTTGCTCACAGTGTCGTCAGGAGTTGTGGTTGACTCGATGGCTCCCAACAGCCACAAATGATGTGCTATGCAGGGACCTGAGCTCCTGACCTTGTCACCCCCCTGTAAGTCAACCTCAGCATAAACAAAGCCTGTATTTCCCAGGAAGTAGCCAGCCAGCCCTTGGTCATTCTCTGGGGGAGAATAAGACATCTTCTAGAAGGCTGACTCTAGGAAGTGGGTCTGTTGTTCACCACAGGACAGAACCCGGCATATGGTGAGTGTTCGATACGTGCTTGTTAGAAGAACTAATGAGGAAGAGTCCCAGGCCTCTAGGAACAATGACGATCATGCTAATTCCCATGGCAGGCTGGCCCCTCATTGCCAGCAGCCCATGCACAATGAGGTGACAGAAGCCCAGTCCTTGTGCCACGCCTGTTATCGCCTGTGATATGCAGGATGCTCACTGGATCATCAGAAGTAGGTTGCCAGGCCCTTCTTCCTACGCTTAGTCTGGATGCTTTGTGGAAACCCAGCTCAGCGTCACAGAAATGAGCAAGCTTCCACTGGCCAGATGGGTGGTAATAGTGCACGATGGGCACCAGCTGGGAACGGAACCTGAGACTCACGCATCAAAGATGAGAAGTCTTCCACTGAACCATCCATGGCCTAATGATAATCATCCAGGCTACCATTTATCAGTGGAAGCAGGAGTGGCATCCACTTCCTAAACAACATGCCTCCGGGAACTCTATGAACTTTGATAAATGCTG